TCCAATGAAGTACGCAGAACTCCTGCGGCCTCATGTGGGTGTGAATGTAAAAGGCGTAAAATCAGGAATCCAAATCGGATTTTTTTTGGGTTGGGTACTGAACCAGTNTCAAAGCTACACAACCGAAACCTACACCGCGCACAAATCACTGCCGCTAGCACCAGCAGAGAACCAAACTAAGATCCTCCCCATCAAAGACAGCCACCATCAAAGACAGCCACTGCCCTCGCCCCTCTTCGCGGCCGCGGGGGTGTTCGACTGTTCCGATAGATGGGTTTCCACTGGTTCTTGAGGCCTCTTACTGAGGAAATCTGCGAATATTGGAATGTACTGGAGTACTGGCTGCTGACGCAGCCAGTGTACATGCACTGCCAGCGCATGTGCACTGGCAGTACGTACTGGTTCAGTACCCAACCCTATAATTTGGTGTATGTATGCGGCAGGTCATGTTTAGATATTCGGCCATCTGGAATTTGGGCGTTTGGAAATGGCCTAATTCCTCCGCGCAAGACGATCAAATAATTGTTTGGGCTGAGAAAAGGACCCTCCCCCAAAAAACAAATCCCGAAATGATCACAACGTAAGACTCGGCCTTGAGGAAAACTTTCCCAGACGGGAATCCGGGGGACCGACAGATGATGCTCCACCCCCCCCAAAAAGCAGGAGGTCTGCGTACTGGATAGCAAGCAGAGAGGACCAAAGCGCTTTGTCAGTTCGTCCTCGCCTCACAGACCCCGTTTGTCATCTAACCGATAAGGCTGTACACCACTACTGTGAGCTTCTCGGAGCCAAGGTTGGGCAGCTAGTGCAGTGTGCGTAGAGTATGCCTTTGATACGAATGCAAAACCACCATTTCCAGTTTGAAATTCCGAGCTATTCCAGCTGGGAATTCATGAGGAATTCCAACCACGATCGCCCAGCAATTCCAAATTGGAATTCCAATTTTTACACAGCACGATGAATGCACACTGCACACCAGCTGCCAAAACTTGGCTCGAAGAGGCTCACACCAATGCACTGCGCGGTCTCGAAGGTTTGGATGCCAACGGGCCTCTGTGAGGCGCGTACTGAGAGTGCCACAGCGCTTTGTGTGCTTTTCCAATGAAGTACGCAGAACTCCTGCGGCCTCATGTGGGTGTGAATGTAAAAGGCGTAAAATCAGGAATCCAAATCGGATTTTTTTTGGGTTGGGTACTGAACCAGTACGTACTGCCAGTGCACATGCACTGGCTGCGTCAGCAGCCAGTACTCCAGTACATTCCAATATTCGCAGATTTCCTCANTTCGCGGCCGCGGGGGTGTTCGACTGTTCCGATAGATGGGTTTCCACTGGTTCTTGAGGCCTCTTACTGAGGAAATCTGCGAATATTGGAATGTACTGGAGTACTGGCTGCTGACGCAGCCAGTGTACATGCACTGCCAGCGCATGTGCACTGGCAGTACGTACTGGTTCAGTACCCAACCCTATAATTTGGTGTATGTATGCGGCAGGTCATGTTTAGATATTCGGCCATCTGGAATTTGGGCGTTTGGAAATGGCCTAATTCCTCCGCGCAAGACGATCAAATAATTGTTTGGGCTGAGAAAAGGACCCTCCCCCAAAAAACAAATCCCGAAATGATCACAACGTAAGACTCGGCCTTGAGGAAAACTTTCCCAGACGGGAATCCGGGGGACCGACAGATGATGCTCCACCCCCCCCAAAAAGCAGGAGGTCTGCGTACTGGATAGCAAGCAGAGAGGACCAAAGCGCTTTGTCAGTTCGTCCTCGCCTCACAGACCCCGTTTGTCATCTAACCGATAAGGCTGTACACCACTACTGTGAGCTTCTCGGAGCCAAGGTTGGGCAGCTAGTGCAGTGTGCGTAGAGTATGCCTTTGATACGAATGCAAAACCACCATTTCCAGTTTGAAATTCCGAGCTATTCCAGCTGGGAATTCATGAGGAATTCCAACCACGATCGCCCAGCAATTCCAAATTGGAATTCCAATTTTTACACAGCACGATGAATGCACACTGCACACCAGCTGCCAAAACTTGGCTCGAAGAGGCTCACACCAATGCACTGCGCGGTCTCGAAGGTTTGGATGCCAACGGGCCTCTGTGAGGCGCGTACTGAGAGTGCCACAGCGCTTTGTGTGCTTTTCCAATGAAGTACGCAGAACTCCTGCGGCCTCATGTGGGTGTGAATGTAAAAGGCGTAAAATCAGGAATCCAAATCGGATTTTTTTTGGGTTGGGTACTGAACCAGTACGTACTGCCAGTGCACATGCACTGGCTGCGTCAGCAGCCAGTACTCCAGTACATTCCAATATTCGCAGATTTCCTCAAGAAGAGGCCTCAAGAACCAGCGGAAACCCATCTATCGGAACAGTCGAACACCCCCGCGGCCGCGAAGAGGGGCTAGGGTAGTGGTTGTCTTTGATGGTGGCTGTCTTTGACGGGGAGGATCTTAGTTTGGTTTTCTGCTGAAGGGTGCTGGTGGCGCAAAGAATCGCCATCCCAAGTCTATGCTTGTTGTGCTGAAGCTAGCGACAGTGATTTGTGCGCGGTGTAGGTTTCGGTTGTGTAGCTTTGGCGCTGTTCTTATCTCCTACTTGAGCATTCTATCAAGCTGGTGGTTCATTTGTTGCGCAACTTATCCTGTCGTTCTAGGGAGAGTAGTAGATGGACTAGTCGTTTCCTTTTTAGCTTTTTAGCTCTTAGCTGGTTTCTTGGTATATTCTCAGGGCTGCCGTGTCGTTGTGTCCTTCGTAGAGTCCTTCGTGTTTCTGCCGGAGAGGGGCTGTAGAGTCCAGTATACGAGAGCGTCCCTCATCAACCCAACTGATGGACGTCACTTGGTTGCTTGGGAGTAACATATTAATATTTCTAGCTAAATATTTCCTCATGTCGAAAACCAACACACTCAGTCGTTGAACTCGAAATTTCTATCGTTTTCCCCGCGATAGTGCCTGTGTCGGATGGGCCAAAATCACCCATTTTTTATGCTCTAGTTGAGCCAAATCGCGTAAAAAGGCGCTTCCGGCGGGGCGCCTCCAGCGGGGCCCTCCGGGGGCGCCTCCGGCGGGGCCCCCTCACCAGCCGGGGGGGGCCGATGGTCGCGGCGCAGCCGCGACCGCGCGGCNGGGGCCCTCCGGGGGCGCCTCCGGCGGGGCCCCCTAACCCGTCGGGGGGGGGCGATGGTCGCGGCTGCGCCTTCAATGTACTGATCGGATCCGGTATATTGGCTACGTCAGCAGCCAATATACTTTGTACTGGCGCTGCGCGCCAGTACCCAACCCTAAAAATTTCCATCACAATTGGCCTAAACCCTTCTGCAGAAATTTGGCAACGCACGCACGTGTGCGTTGGAGCGTTTCTGTCTGTGGTTCGTCGCTGATGTATAGCATTTTACGTCCTGCTTGCTTCATTGTTGATCTTTGGTTGGCGGGCGTGGGGCGTGGTTAGGTGCGTCATGGTTGTGGCAATTGCTTTTGAAATAAAAGGTCCGGCTTCGATGAAAATGTCAACTATTATATAATAGTGTGACACTGGGTCCGGCCGGGGCCTTGTGAATGTCAAAGTCAGTAGATCAACATTGAGCTGTGCCGGACGAAACCAAAATTAGGAGATTCGTTGTTTTTTTTTTTTTCGACCGACCTGATGATCGTGGTATTTCGGCCCTGATTATTACAAAATGGTTATCATAGGGTGAACCAAAGCTGTTAGATCTGGGGTCCACCACCTCTCTCTGAGCTGTGATTCTTCGCCAAATTATATGTATTTCTTTGGGACAATCAACCCCTTATTTCCTCAAGAACGAAGACGCAAGCATCTTTTTTTCTCGTTTGGTGGGCGCCAACTCTGTATAGCAGCTGTATTTCGTACATCATGTGCATCTTCTTACAGCAGTATCGTACGATCCAACGCCTCTCGGACATGCAGATTGCTGGCTCAACTGGCAAGTGCTGGCGGTATAATATAAACCTTGACAGAAGCCCCCGAAGTCGGTCGGCGAGTGATTGTGATCACGAAAGATCCGGCGGATAGCGGTTGCGCAATTGCTGATGTACGGTACAGAAAAGAATAGAAGGGCGTGGCGTGGAACGGGCGAAAAAAAGAGCGCACATCTATGCCAGAGAGTACATTTTGGTACAACTCTACGTACAGAAGAGTGTTATTTTTTGTCAGTCAGCAGGATTGCTGTAGACTGCTGTGGATGCGTGGATCCTTGTATGGGAGTCGAGTGTACGCGTACAGCAGTAGTCTATGCGAATTGTGCATCTGTTTTTAAAAATCCGAGCACATACCAAAGTAGTCGTTCTCGATGCCAGCTGACAGCTGGATTAGTTACCACGTACGTATATGATGGTACGCATTTGTAAGCTAGCTGGCTCTGTGTTTTGGTGGATCGAAACACCATGCTCTTGAGATGATTGTAACGTTTGCCTCTGGTTGCCTCCTACTCTGCGCTTCGACTCTGTACTGCTACTGCGGTCACGGTGGATCTGCGCAATGTGTGCGTATGCAGCAGCAGCGTACAATGCGCATGCACTTGATGGGGAAGATGAAGATCTCTCCGTTCTGCTTGCACATGCATACAAATAAATGACGAAGAGGAGGGATGGTTGTTACGGGTGGACAGCTGCTGGCCCTCTGAACGGACAGTAACACACCAGTGCTTTTCAGAGCGAGCGGCCTTTCGGCTCTGAAAGAGCGAGCTGCCTTCTGCTACAACCTATGACGAGAGCGGGACCCAGGGCAGACTACCGAAGAGAAAGAACAGGCAATCTTGCGGCCACGGGCCGGGTTGCTGGAATGGGAAAGACGGCCGAGGCTCCTCGTTCAGCCCCTCAACAATCTGCGTTGAAATTTCCGGTCCATCGTTCGTTTGTTTGGTACAAACACAACAGCAGAGTTTGAGAAGCGGAAACGTCACGAAAAACACTCATTTCGTCGCTTCGGCGCGGCCTTCACGAAGACACTACTTTATCCCGAATCCCCCTTCTCGTGCTCACCTGCTTGATGATGAAAGAATCCCCGGCTTCCGACCAGCAGACGATGTCATCCGACACGGACTCCACCATGCGGAAAGTGCGGTCGAGAAACACAGGGATGTTATTGTTGAAGGGCTCCTCCACCTGGGTCGGCGCTGGAGTTTCAGCTTCGGCGGCTGGCTGTTCCGAAGAAGACAGGGGAGAAGACGCTGGTGCGGCGTCCTCCTGCACCTCTTGGTCGTTGGTGTCGGCGTTCGCGTCTTGCGCGGCTCGCTCCATGATCCTTGCAGGGCGCTAGGCTGAAAGGCGTGCGTGGCTCCAAAGGTTTGTCTGCTCCATGTAGTTTGCTGTCGTTGTTGTTGCCTACACCGGGGACGCCGGGCCATGATGTGTCCAACACATCAAAGTTTGATGTGTTGGACACGATCGGATCTGTCACACTGAGAGTGCGGCCTGCGCTGCGGTGATCTGCAATTTTGAAGTCTGCCGTCTTCCTGTCATAAACAGCCCGCGAAGGACTTCGTTCCACCGCGCTTGCCCGCCGATCTCACTCACCTTCGAACGGCATCGCAAACCCTCGCGTCCTTTCCCCCCCACTCTCTCATGCGCTCGTAGGTGCGTTCTATATCTTGCTGCAGCCCGGAGAGCCCGAGCAGCCCACCCCAAGTAGAACTTGAGTCCTATTGATGAAATAAAAAAATAAATGAGCGAAAAGGCCGGGCTGGTCCCGACGTCCTGACTATTTTTAGAAAGTGAGCCTGTCACCCGAGATTTGTCCCTATATGCTGTCTAGGAAATCGTAGACATAGAGGTAGTTTTCTCTGACCCTATGATTCCATTTTTAATCTGTCTCTGACTCTTTTCTGTGATCGAGATGGCACATCAGCCGCACATACTCCCCACATATGCATACCAAACTGAGAATATGTTTGTAAACTGATGGAGAGTGCATGTCCTACAACTAATAATAGGGTGCGACACACAAAACGCCCGACTACCCAACAGTACCCAACACCTTTCGTCTGCACCTTCCCAACATAACATATATGAGACACACAAGACAGCTACCAAACTGATTTGTTGAGCCTGTTACCCACAGGGGAGATGTCCCTATATGCTGTCTGGGAAATCGTAGACACACAGGTAGTTAGTTTTCTCTGACGCTATGATTCCATTGTTAGTCTGTCTCTGACTCTTTTCTATGATAGAGATGGACTCGTTGTGTCATATTAAGAAAAAAAAAAAAGTAAACATTGTACCTCACAGAAAGACTACCTGTTCGAGATATAACCTCAGTCGAAAGGGATGTGAAGTCTTTTCACTAAGTGGATTGAAACCAACTGGAGACTTGGCATATTTTGAGTTTGTGTAAGGCTAACACTGAGTTGTTCTCGTTGTTATCAGTAATGCCAGTTGGAGCTAAGCACAAAAGCATCTGTATATATAGATAAAGATAGGCGGATACATTCTTATTTGTATGTATGTGGAATGTGGCGTTCTTCACAGACAGGGAACATGGCGCAGTGTCATTTGACAACTTGCTGTATTTAGAAAGTACTTCGCTGCTGTTTTATTACGCGACTTGAATATAGACGATAATGTGTACAGCTGTAGGACTGACACGCGCCACAAAAAATATGTGATATTTTCTTAATTTCAACAGTTGGAGTTGTCCTGTAGATTTGAGTATGGCTGTTTCCCGCTCATCATTTTGAAGTCTAGCTACAATGTTATTTTGTTGTTCTACGTGTAGGTGAAATGCTTTGAAGGGTAGGGGGATACTGTTACATAGGATGGTAGGTTAGGAGTGATACTGATTTGCAGCAATGGAGTTTAGTATTTCTTGTGTGTAACGTATCATCGAGGCAAAATGAACAGGCGGCGGTCAGCATGGCAAGTAGAGTTGCAGTCAATGAACGTATAACTTCCCTGTTTCCTTCGAACGGTGTGTGTCGAAGAGTGTTGTCGAGACCGTTTGCAGCGTGTCTCAGCCATGTTGTAGAGCATCCATCCTTCATGAAGGGCAGTAGCAGCAGCAACGAGTAGTAGTTGATTGTAGTGGATCTTAACTGGTTCACGACGAAAGGTGACTATTTTTCTTGTGAATAATGTTGTCAAGTGTGGTGTTGTTGATGGGTGACGTTGGAACGGATTTATTTCCTCTGTTGGACGTTAGAGCCGATCAACCATTATCCGTGGAGCCGGGGGCTGGTTGGTGCAGACAAACAACGCGAGTGGTGCTTGCGGGCGTGAAATACGCCCAAAAGGCGGCGAAAAAGAAGAACTTCTGCTGCTGCCAACTGCTGCTGCTCGCTGCCGCCGCTTCGTCTCTCAATCAAACCCGCTTCCCTAGCTTGTTTCTCCGATCATAGATATAAAGATAGATGCAGCAGTATCTCTCGAACGGGTAGTTTTTCTGTGTGTGCATCTATTTTTCCGCATAATATAAGATAGACTAGTACTTTGGCACAGTCAGCACTACAATCATTAGTCTAGCAGGGCGGATGAAACAGACTCGAAACAAGCCTAGTACCCAGACAGTTTCCCTCCACTCACTGGAAATAATGCTTCAACACATCCCCTTCGACTGCTGCTGTAGTAGGATACAAGCTGGGCCAGCCAAGAAGCCAACAAAATGGTTAGGAGCGATTTCCGAGCCGGTTTTACGAACTAGAACCTGAAATATTGATGTGATTGGACATGGTCTTATACATGCCCCCGAGAGAGGTGCGTTTTTTTTTTTNACAATAGTTTTTTTTTTGTGAAAAGTGTGGCCGTAGTCATTAGACCATTGACCTCGCATCCCTACAAAGCCGGGACGGANTAAGATAGACTAGTACTTTGGCACAGTCAGCACTACAATCATTAGTCTAGCAGGGCGGATGAAACAGACTCGAAACAAGCCTAGTACCCAGACAGTTTCCCTCCACTCACTGGAAATAATGCTTCAACACATCCCCTTCGACTGCTGCTGTAGTAGGATACAAGCTGGGCCAGCCAAGAAGCCAACAAAATGGTTAGGAGCGATTTCCGAGCCGGTTTTACGAACTAGAACCTGAAATATTGATGTGATTGGACATGGTCTTATACATGCCCCCGAGAGAGGTGCGTTTTTTTTTTTTTGTGACATATCCCTATATTTAATGACTGAGAATCCTAATAAAGGGGGTTTTGTGGCTTAGAAAAAAAAACGCACCTCACTCGGAGGCATTTGTACGACCGTTTCCAATCACATATCAAAATATCAGGTTCTAGTTCGTAAAAACCGGCTCGGAAATAGCAAATTGCGTAGTGACCTCGATACCTGGGTGAGGGGCGGCATATGTGTAGGAAAATGAGGGGCTCACAGCCCATGAAAAGGGGCGCGAAAGCGGCCTGATGGCAAGAGGCGCACAGACGCTGACTGTACCCTCTTGATTGGACAGGTAGTTGTGGGTGCATATCGATCGTGATGACGTGACACTCATGCATGTAAGAGGTTGTAATCTGAAGGTCAGCGCTCCAAAAATACACAAATGTTTGGTTCAAATCGTACAAAAATAGTTGACGTTTCCTTGTACAAAGAAAAAAGATTGGTGGTACAGGTAGCGGTTACAAAACACCCGTTTATCTCAAAAAACAAAAAAACATTCAAACAAACTGACGGACTCATCAACAGATACACACACAACTTCTCACACCGGTTTATCTCACAGAAAAACAAAATGCAAACAACACCTTGAAACCGAGTCATTTACAACACACAGTTTATCTCGCTGAAAAAAATATCCAATGTGCATGCCACCGACTTTCTACAACGACAATACACACCAACTCACACACTTATTTATCTCACAGAAAAAAAAACATGCACACCCAACTCGAGACACCCCCCTCGTCATCAGCCGGCCGACGCTGTTACTGGCCGCCAAGAAAACTAGTTTCCATGTCCAAAATGTTGCGGTGGGCCTTTTGGACCTTGTGCATCTTCTCGATGAACTCCTTGCTCCTGATGACTACCCCGCTCAGCGCAATCTCGCGGTAAGCCCGGCAGTAGTCTCGTGTCCGCCGGGCAAAGCGCCGCACCCGACCGATCGTCAAGTACTTGTCTATGCACAGGGACTTTTCGATGTTGTCGTGCAAGTGCTTCGGGACCTCAGCATTGATCTTCCGCCGAAACTCCTGCTTGGAAAACCCCCACGAGTACTCGATCCCTACCCCCGCTACCTCAGGGAGACACTTTCGGAGACGACAAAAGAATGTGTCCCCTACTCTCTACCAGGTACTGCAGGGCTGTTCTCTCGTTCTTTAAGTCAGGCAAGGTTTGCAGAACCTTTTCCACATGCATCTCGTCGCTGACTCCCGCCCTTGTTGACATCCCGTCCTTCCACCACCCACGCTCCCACAGGTACTGCCTGACCCCTTTCGCTTTCCCCTCGTACCCTTCCTTGACCTTCCCCTTCGCGTTCTTCTTGTCTTTGCGCGGAGCGTCCCATTCAAAAAAACGGAGGAGGCGCAGCTACCGCGCAAGTGCTAGTCTGAGTCTGGCCCACCTTCAGCTTCTGGTCAACACACACTGCCCCCTCGCTGAACTTCGTGCTCCACTTGCCGTTGGCGAAATACATTTTCGCCTCCTCCGGACCCAAGCACCCCTCCGTCATGACCGAATCCCGCAACACCTTTTGCTTCCCCTCATACTTGACGTTCATGTTCGATAGGTACAAACCATCCTCTCGCTGCTTCCCATGGCCCGACGCGTGGTCGACCTCGAACACTACTTGCATGTCGGGGTCGATGTGCTCCAAGACGTCCATCACGTCTTCGACCTGCTCTTCGAACTGGTCGTAGCCCCAGTACCCTTCCTTGCCTTTTCCGTATTCAAGAAACCTGAGTCCAGGGCTTCGCGTCAGGGGTTTTCCCCATTCCTCTCCTTGCGTTTGGCGTTCACCGCCGCCAGGTCGGCGTCCGAAATAGGTAAGCCGAAACCGTGTCTTTCGTCTTGAAAACCAGACACCATTTCCCCCGGTCCCTCCGTCGTTTCCCGCAGTCCGCGCACCCCTCCAATCACCCACTCTTTGCCCTCGGGTGCATACGCCTTGTAGGCACTCTCGTCCTCCTCGATGTGGTGCACCTTCTTGCCGCAGTTGCACTTGTTCGGGGGGTGGAATGCTCGCACTGGGGCAGCAGCGGCCTGATCGAAGCGAAAGCTGCAGTCCCCACCCTCTGGACCAAGTGCGGCGCGGAGCTTGTCGAAGTTATCGACGGAGCCGTCGTCGCGCAGGAGATCTAAGTGGAATGCGATGCAGTCTTGTCCATCGATCTTGCAGTCGTACACCTCTGCGTAGAAACCTCCCTCCGGGCCTCGTGCCTTGAGGCTTTCGAGTCGGTCCACCTCCTCCTGCTTGAGAGCGCCTCATTGCGCTTGTACCCACAATGGTTGACGCAGCGCCATCTTGGTCTCTTCTCTATGTAATCGCCCCGATGTCGACTACCTCCTTCTTCTCGTGGCTGTCCGTGTAGAACGACTTGGTGGCCCGCTCGTACTTGCAACCCAGCCTTATCATCCACGGGTGCGTCGTGGACATCGAAACCGGAAGGTTCACCTGGTACGCATGGAGCCTGGAAAGATCCTCCTTGTCGTCTTGGAGCAGAGGCCCGTTGATGTACTTGCAGACGTCCTTGACGGTGACACGCGGTTGTGGTATCATCCACGCCAGCAACTTACCCTTCAGATCCTCCTCTGACATGATCCAGTCCGTCTCGTGCGCACCCCGTGCATCCCGCCTGAAACCACCTTCCTTCCGAAAGTCTCTGAGCCACCTCAGGATCGTCGATGGCGCATAAGCCTGCGGACTAGGTCCTGCTACCTTTGCCGCGATCCGCAGGAGCGGAGCCTCGTGCCGAACCAACGACGCCTCGTTGAGCAGGTCAAACCTTGGCATTGGCTTCCTTCACGGCGGCATCCGTTGCATACTTGCAGCCGGACAAAACCCCGTTCGCCTTCCGCGTGCACTCCAGCTGCTTGACGTCGCTATCCCGCTCCTCTTTCAGCACCTCCAACGATGAGTACGCTTGCTGCCACAACCGGTTTATCTGCTTCTCGGGTACGGTTTCCTCCGGCGGCTTCCCCGTATCCTCCGCCCACGTCCTATCGCCCGCGTTCTCACCGTCCTCCACGGAAGGGGGGGGGAGGGGGAGGAGAAGGCTGGGGAGGTGGCCAGTCCGGAGGGCGTCCTGGAGACGCTTAATGTGTTGCTCGTTGGCTGCAACGGTTGCCGTCAAGTCTTTGATCCGGCCGCCGAGGTAGGGTCCACGTTTGTCGAAAACGAAGCTTCGTGTCTCTCCTTCTCCAACCCCGCTCTATCGAGCGTTTTTCGCGACTGGTGAGCATCTGCTGCATCGCAAATTCCGCGCGGGTCGCGTCGGAGCCAGCCCGCCGCTGTCGCTTGAACTGCCGTTGCTGTGGTCGGCCGATGATCCCAAGGCTGTTGAGCGATTTTTCCTGCTTGAACGGCGGTTGGGAATTTGAAGCACGAGGCAGGGCGGCACGTTGTTATTTTTTGCTTTGCACTACAGCAGTACTCGCAGCAAGTATTTAAGAGTTGGAGATCACCCCAGTAGTGCGTGACGAGCAAAGGTGCAACAACCGGTCAACCTTTCGTGGATGTGTGACGACGTCGGCGCATTTTCATGCAGAGTTTTACTTGCAGACCGAAGTACGACACATGACAACACTTCCCCTGGGCCGATTTCCACAGCTCGATTACTCCACGACAAAGAGGATGCATGAAAAAAACGATAAGCTTTCGGAGAGCTCTCGACCAGACGGCTTCAACACCGCCGTTTTCGGCGCTGCGACTGGTTCTGCTGTCGATGAATCGAGCTTTCAACATCGGTCCAGGGGGGTGTTATCTTATGTCATATACGGTAGCACATCGTTGCAGCAAACACATCGGGGTGTACAGGCACCATATTGTAGCAAAACATGTTGTGCGTACTGCTGTAGGCGCCTCCAGTACCAGAACAACAGACGGGTAGTGAAGGAAACTCATGTGGACGTGGATATCACGTCGGGTGAGTACACTTGTGCATGCGAAGCATGCCGTCGAAAAATCAAAACTCGGCTGACAACCACATCTCACAAAAAAAAATGTGGTCGTGTACAAATCAACAGACACCGCCACCTCTATTGTAATGCCACCTTAGTCACGTCCCTAAAAGAACATACCGACATATAAGTCCAGCCTGTGGCATGACTGGCTGCGTGCAAGTAGGTACAGCAGCAGACGGTGGCATTGGTGTCACGTGTGCTGCCGTTGCTCCGACCCCAGAAAAAACAACAAAAAATCAAAACTGCATGATCATGTCTACATCGTGTTTGTACAAGTGTACGTAGTTCACGACTTGCCTGCTGGAAGTGTAGCGCCCACTACAACAGGTGGGACTAGATTCTCCTTGATGACCTCGCAAGGCTGACCACATTGGATGCCCTCCTAGCTGTACCTGAAGGCAAGGGTGCCCCCAAGCGCTTCCTGCTCTGTGTTGCACAAGGGGCCGTGCTTGCTCGTTGGCCTGTCTGCTTTCCGGCTTGTGAACATGAGCCGTAGCCGCCACTTCCCCTTAGACCTCTCTGGAAAGCATGCGGGTTCAGAGGTCCTCTGCCTGCCATTGCGAGTGACTGCTACTAAGCTCTCCATGCTGTGCACCCCTCGGTGCCAGCTGGTGCTGTGTGCATCCGTTGTGCACATGTATATTTATTTTTTGTTGTAAATTCCGCCGCAAAAAACAGCGTTTCATATTTCTTTTTCCCCTCTCTAAGCATCTTGAGGGTAGGGTGGGTCATGGTCTTGTTGCCGTAGGTGCCGCAGAACTTCCGTAAGGCGAACATGACGTCCTCCGAGAGATCGATGAGAAGCATGGGCGCCTTCTTTGACTTCGAGAAATCGACTGCCATCGTGATTTGCGGGATGCTGCTGTGTCGAACTCGGAGACCACCGGGGTGTGTGCGTGGCGTGTGTGTGGTGTGGCGTGTGTCTGGCGTGTGTATGTGCTTTTATTATTAGCATCGACCGCGCTAACCGGCTGACCAATGAAAAGACGTCAGTCTCAGTGCGGCGGGAAACACAAAATGTTTCTATAGTCCACTATCTGGGACCCCGGGACCGAGCGTCGTAGGGGGAGCTACGCTATTCTCAGGATTAAAGACAGATACCGTAGTAATAACAGAAGAAAACTGCACGNAAAGTTCCCGCATAGTGTTTTGCCTTACTTGCAGCTCGATCTTCGAGGGCGGATCCTGGCGTTTGGAGTGACTTGTCGATACTTCGCCTAGCAGATGGATTGACGACTGTGACATCTATAAGGATGGATTTGGTGCAGAGTTCCTCTTCTTTATCTCCTGCGTGTAATCCTGGGGGGATCACTAAATCCATCTTGTAGAGCCCTCTTCCCCTACCAGTGCCTGTAGTAAATGGGGAAGAGTCTTCAACAGCGATTGGCATGTGGCATTCGCGTAATGTCTTTAACAGCACGCGAACCATCCTATTGTGCAGGAAGGTTGAGGCGCCGGTCTTCGCGCAGACCAGGGAATGGGGTCGGCTCAACCGTTCCATACACGGTGACAATGTGTATGTGTGTGGGCGTGGAAAGTGATAACTACAGCAGTTGTGTGCGCCAGCTGGTGTGCGCGTGTTGCTCGTGAGAGAGAAGGAGGCCCCGCGCCGCGTGCTTTATGAAAATGAACCAAAACGCCTCCGAAACTCACAGTCCCGCCGAAGTTTTTTTTCTCGTTCCCATAACAGCGGTACTCAAATCTTCCTCTGACAAATATTCGCACGCAAATGTTTGGAAACGTGTGAAGTTTTTTTCCGAAGATTTGGTGACCATAAACATGGGCCTAAAAACCCAGATGAATTGCGGAGGATTATCTTCGTTTGAGAGAACCTGTCTAACACGATTTCTAGAGGCATGGGCAAATCCGCTGTGATTGGCTGATTGAGCAGATATGCCGAGCTCGTTCCAATTCTGATTCCTTCAAGATATATGGCTGGACGACTGAATGTTAGCTTCTTGGCTGGCCCAGCTTCTATATATGGAACGGGAGAAGCCTGTGTTCGCACCTCTCCTACAAACCTCCTGATCAAAGTAATACTATTTGCTTTGATGGCGACGGTTCTTCCGTTCTTCCTCTGTGCTGTGCGAAGGTGTACCGATTCAGGTAAAAGTCGATCGACGGATACCCTGCGAATCGGGTCCTCCTTAACACTCTCCACCCACAAAATCTACCCTCAACTGGGAACCTCTTGTAGCCAGGATGGGTAATTCGATGGAAATGTCACAAGGTTCTTTTTAGGATCGACTCCAGAGGCGTTCTCAGGACTGACACACATTGTGTCCCTGGGAAAATGTCCAAGTCAGGAGAAAAAGTGTGCACCCAAGGAGATTCGAACTAGTATCCTGCCGCTGATGCCATATGCGAAGGTGTACCGGTTCAGGTAAAAGTCAATCGACGGATACCCTGCGAATCGGGTCCTCCTCTCCTCCTTAACAGCTGCTCGTTTCTAACGGAACTTTTCTTTGTTTGTTGCGGACAATCGTGGATACTACACATACATATGGATTGTTGTTGTTTTATTCACGTCAAAAACCATACGTATACTGATCCAGCACTCGACGCGGTCGATTCCCGTGGTCGCAGGCTAACTTNTGCCGCTGATGCCATATGCGAAGGTGTACCGGTTCAGGTAAAAGTCAATCGACGGATACCCTGCGAATCGGGTCCTCCTCTCCTCCTTAACAGCTGCTCGTTTCTAACGGAACTTTTCTTTGTTTGTTGCGGACAATCGTGGATACTACACATACATATGGATTGTTGTTGTTTTATTCACGTCAAAAACCATACGTATACTGATCCAGCACTCGACGCGGTCGATTCCCGTGGTCGCAGGCTAACTTACCCTCAAAAAGAAACACTCAAATTAACTGGCCCCGAGGGGTCCGCAGGTCAATAGAAATTGATGACAGATATTCTTGATTCCTCCGCTCCCTCTGCGCGCTATGCGAGGTACCAACTGAGACTAGGAGTCAGCATCACGGGCCAGAGAAAAAGAGGTACACCCCCTTGGTTCAATCTTTGTACTTCACAACGCAAGCAGAGCCAAGTATTAAGGAGTGTGGCTGCTAGCATGAATCGGATACATCTTATTGTTGATAGGATGCGGGTCGGTCAGGAAGTATACCCTTCTGACCCCTACCCCCTTAGAATTGTCTACTCTGTGTACCCCCTGAGATGAAGTTGGATCCCCACTCCATCTCAGACCCTTGCTGATCGTCTCTCGGCAATAACAAGCAACTTTCCCATCTCAGCGTGCTCGTGGACAAGCGTGACAACGACAGAACCTTCATCCATCTCCAGGAGCAAGCTACCGCCCACGGCTTCACCAACTTTACACTTAGCGTCAGCGGCAGGATTGCAGGATGCTCTGGCGGCACCACGGAAGCAGGAGGAGGATCGTAAAGCTGAGCTGGCGGAGCGCCAGGCGTACGTTCAAGCTGCTATGGCGAAGCAGGGGGCGCTCCGATCACGGCTGGACCACCTCGAGTTCCGCCCCCATGGCCCGCACGCAGCGGCCTTGCCCTCGCCCCCTCCCCATCGTCGTGTTGTTGCCCCCCTCCAATTTCAATCGCAGCGTGCTTCTGTGGCGAAGGAGAACGGGCGGGAGGTGGTGGCTACTCCGGAGTTTTCTGTGACGTTGAGTCGTCCGGCCGGTGAAGACGGGGCATCGACTGCGGCCGCAGCCGCGGGGTACGAGTTCCATGTTGGCGATACAGCGTTCCTGCCCCGCCCACTGGAGATGCCAGCCGAAGACTCAACTTTCCACGATGAGGGTAAACTGGCAGCTCTTTTTGCATGGGCTGGAGTCAAGCACCTCGTCCGTGCTCAGTTTCCCCACTCTCACACCGTTGCTTTCGGGCACATTTATTCTGCCCCCTACATCGCGAAACTTCCGCCTTCTCCTCGGCAGTCCGTGTTCCGGCTTTTGTTCGCTCTCCGTCGTGCCTCTATTACGAGCGGTCCTCAAGGAGCGTCGGTGGTGGCCCATGATGGAGGACTCCAGCTGCCTCTTGCTCGTGCTGCCTCAAACAACGATTTCAAGCACGATCTGCAAGCCCCCCGGCAGGCCTCTTCACGCCCTGCACATGGTTCTGGAGGGGACAAGAACTACAGTCGGTCGGTGGCTCCTGCGTCTAAGAGCTGGAAGAACCGTTGGGGTGACCAAGATTCGACCACCAAGAGCGGGACCGACGACAACCGCCGCTCCACCCAGTCTTCGCGAGGGGGCGGCACCGGAGATGGCGGGCGAGGGCAAACCGCGGGGAACCAGCCTACCAGGTCTTCGCCGGCGAGCCGCCACCGCCAGAGCAGGAGTCGGAGTGCAGAACGTCAACAGCGCACCAATCTTTCGTCTAGGCGTGGGCGCAGCCGGAGCGAAGACCGTCGTGGGACAAATACGCCTCCGTCTAGGCGAAGCCGCAGCCGGAGCCAAAATCGGAGCGGGGGCAACAGCAGGGTGACCAGCACTGACAGCGGTCGAGGCGGAAAAGGGGGACGGAAGTCAGGCCACGGTAACAGGCAAGTGATGCATGATCGGGGTGGTTTTCGTAGCTCTGGGTTGTTGGGGGAAAACAAGGATGCTTCAGAAGACGGTTCTCTCTGTTCTTCACCGCTTGTTCTACGCCCCCCCGCTGATGTAGGCCAACCGACCATGTCTGCTTCGGCGTTCAAACTTGCCAACATGCAACTTCGTGAACGTTCAGCCGCTGTGAAAAGCCATGCCCCTGCCCATGCCGTTATGGATCATCCCACATCTTCCTTGCCTTTGGACGAACGTGATGAGTCACCACGCCATGGTGCATCACACGCCTCGACTTCGGCTTCCCGTACTGAAATGCTGTTGGAACAAGTGCTCACGCTCCTGCGAGCAAATCAAGTTGTGGATGCTGCTGCCGACGCGAATGTACAACCTCCTGTGCCCTCCCACGCTCCTAGCGTGCCACCACCTGCCCCATCTTTTTCCCCACGAACGCATCTGACACCGCTGCAAGACCACGCTTCGAGCTTTTCGGGAGCTCCTGTAGGGCGCGATGTTCGTGCCGAAACCGCTGCCAGGGCCACGCCAGGATCATCGTCATCCGCCACGATGTCGGCGACAGTACCGGTCGAGCCTGCGGTGGTACCATCAGCGTCGGCAGCCCCAGCCCTGTTGCAACAGCCTTTTGTGATATCGCCCTCCCCCCTCCAGCGTGGGTCTATTCTGATTGATCCTAGCTCTGCGACCGGCCACATCGTCGAGCCACCGGGTCAAGCGATATCGCCGTTGACTCAGGACGATGCTGGTTTGCCTTTGTCTTCCACGGGAGCGAGAGCGAGGCAGGAGGCTCGGGACGCTGCGGATGCCGCTGCAGCGGAGGCCGGCACCATCCGCATTCAAGACAAGATGGACAAGCTGAAGCCGGAACAACTTGATAGTGTCACACGCTTGTCCCTCGGTCCTGATCCTGAATAATTTGCTCGTTTCGCGTCTAGCTGCAAGGGTGTGGTCACAGAGATCCTCAACAAAAGCGACGTCAAGCGCAAGCAGACTTTCAGTACCTCCACCTGGGTCACCGGATGGCTTCCGTTGTTGCGCCAACGTGTCCGTGCTGCTGTCGTGGAATGCCAAACCACCAACCGTGCCACGCTGGAATTTCTTGATGCCACCTTCCTANTCCCTCGGTCCTGATCCTGAATAATTTGCTCGTTTCGCGTCTAGCTGCAAGGGTGTGGTCACAGAGATCCTCAACAAAAGCGACGTCAAGCGCAAGCAGACTTTCAGTACCTCCACCTGGGTCACCGGATGGCTTCCGTTGTTGCGCCAACGTGTCCGTGCTGCTGTCGTGGAATGCCAAACCACCAACCGTGCCACGCTGGAATTTCTTGATGCCACCTTCCTACAGGTAGAAAACCATCTGCGCAAGGAACCGGCAGGGCCCTCGACGTACGCCTTCTTCATCCAGAAATTGGCGGCCGCCTGGGACACTCAAGNAATTCTCACCACGCGTTGAAGCCTTCGGATGCGCAAGTGCAGATAGCTGTTCGAGACTCCATGTCGAAGCAGTTTCTGGTAGTGTCTGGGCAAGTGTACAAGGATGAGCAGCTCTCCATGGAAGCCCCTTTTGGCAACATGCTTCGTGTCTGGATGATATGTGGGATGTGTTGGACAAGCGTGCGTTCGCGCACACGCCGGCGGTGCATGGAGATGATTTCTTTTCGGTATCTTCCACGAATGCTAGGAGTTCGTCTGCTGTTTCGCGTGCTGTAGCTTCGTCGGCGTTGCGTTTGACGGTGACCCCTTCGCCAGGGCTCTTCGGCCGCCGTGATGAGTGTTGACCCTCTACCTAATGATAATCGGGACCCTTTTCTGTTGCATTACAGTGACTGGCCGTTGCAAGGACACTGCCAAGAGGTGTACAACGTCGCTAGTGAGATGGCTCTAACCAAGAATGATCNGTCGGCGTTGCGTTTGACGGTGACCCCTTCGCCAGGGCTCTTCGGCCGCCGTGATGAGTGTTGACCCTCTACCTAATGATAATCGGGACCCTTTTCTGTTGCATTACAGTGACTGGCCGTTGCAAGGACACTGCCAAGAGGTGTACAACGTCGCTAGTGAGATGGCTCTAACCAAGAATGATCCGCCATTGTTCATCCCCTTGGTCTCGGCTGAAGAACGAAGCAACGCGCTTCGACTGTACAAGGGCAAGTGCCCGAGCTGCTTAGGAGAAGACCACTCCTTCAAATCCTGTACTCGTGGTTTCGTGAACGCCACCGACTTGCTTAACAATGACATCAAGTTCTGTATGGAAAAAGATCCCACACTTTGGGGTCGGTGGGAAAAGCGCATGACCTCGTATAGACGCCCTACAGGACGCAACCCACACCGAAATCACTCCTCAGGACGCGCCCGCCGCTCATCTGACACATGGGACACGAAACAGTCCTCACACACAGAGCTCTCGTCGGAGGCTTCCACATCGCCTAAGAGGGGCTGGAGGGGTAAGAAATGACAAGCCGATGGCGGAGTTCAGCCGGTACTACCGTCAACAGCACCCACCGTCCAACCTTTCGGAGTCTCCCAAGATGTTCGTGTACAGCGTATTTCTTTGGATACTCCCCACGTTCCTCAATCACATCTAGTTTCTCGGCCCGCCTCCTCGTCGTCTGCCTCATCGTCTGCTGGTATTGGACATGACAGACCCATTTCGGCAGTACCTTTGTGGTGTGGGCGACGGGGAGGTAAGACGTCGAGCAGTTCATCATTGCTCACCTCGTCGTCTCGGGTTACAGAAGGGACAAGAACGTCTTCTACTTTTCGTCAAGACTCTCCTCGTGTTGTCAGCCGGGTCTCTTATCGGATCGCACACAAGCCTTCTTCTACACTCGTCGGGAACCTCGTCGATCCTCCTTCTCTTTCGNCCCACCGTCCAACCTTTCGGAGTCTCCCAAGATGTTCGTGTACAGCGTATTTCTTTGGATACTCCCCACGTTCCTCAATCACATCTAGTTTCTCGGCCCGCCTCCTCGTCGTCTGCCTCATCGTCTGCTGGTATTGGACATGACAGACCCATTTCGGCAGTACCTTTGTGGTGTGGGCGACGGGGAGGTAAGACGTCGAGCAGTTCATCATTGCTCACC